TTTACGTGTGATCTGACTCTGCACTGTTATCAGAGCCCACAAAACCGATTATTCCACTCATTCAAGGATCCTGCTCTGTAGTTGGAAAAACACCTAACTAAAAATGCCTGAGTGCTGTCAGCAGGTGACACCTTATCAGAAGATAACTCCCTTCTTCACAGGAGCCACAAGGAGCTTGGGGAAGAGTCACCCCTCAAGTAGCCTCCCTCCTCTGGACCGCCTCATTCGCGCAGGACCTCCCCACTCCCAGGCTAGCGCATATGTACACAGACACATCAGAAAGGTCTCTGAGGAACTTCCCTGGTGGTCCAATTGTTAAGAGTTTGTCTTGCAGTGCAGAGGACACTGGTTTGAACCCCGGTCCAGGAAGATCCCACAGGCAGCAGAGCAACTAAGCCCATGTGCCACATATACTCGAGCCCATGCTCCAGAGCCCCTAAGCCACAACTGTCATGCCCATGTGTCGTTACAACTACTGAAACCTGCGTGCTCTAGAGACACCACTGCATGAGATGTCCATGCACCCACAACGAAGAGTCGCCCCAGCCCGCCGCAACTAGAGAAAGCCTGCACACAGCAACAAACACCAAGCACAGCCAAAAATAAATAAATAAATAAACGTTATTTTAGGAAAAAAGTCTCTGAAACCTCAGACACTCCCTCAGCTCCTGTCAGGTGTCTGTAGAACCGTGTAGCATCCAACAAGAAGGTGAGCAGTCAGTGTTATGTGGCAGCCTGGATAGGTGGGGAGTTTGGGAGGAGAAGGGATACATGTACACGGCTGAGTCCCTTTGCTGTCCACCTGAAAACTATCACAACATTATTAACGAGCTATACCCCAATACAAAATGTTTTTGGTGCAAAAAATAAATTTTACAAGTGAGTCACTGTCCTGATACTGTCACCCAGGTGCCCAAGTGGGACAGTCTGCTCCACACCGACTCTCCCAGAAAGCTACTGCGTGCCTCTGTTTTGTTTTCAACTATTTGTTTTTACATATTTTGCTGCGCCGGTTCTTGAGCTATGGCACTGGGATCTTTCAGTTGCGGCATGTGTCTGTCTGTAGCCTGTGAACTCTCAGCGGTTGCACAGGGCTCAGTGTCCCAGGAGGGGCGGAACCCATGGCCCTGTACTGGGAGCGGGGAGTCTCAGCCCCGGGCCTCCAGGGAGGTCCCACAGTCCCTGCGTGGCTGCCTGTCCCGGGTGCGCCCGCTGTGTTCTGGGGACCGGTCAGGAGGTTCAGCCTCCAGCCTGGAGGCAGATCCCATCTGAGAACCTCCTGGGGCCGGCGGGCGCCCCCCGCGGGGGTAGAGGAATCGCACGTTTAGAAAAACAAAAGCGTGGTTTTGCTTGAATTTTTCAATATTTTAAATCGCTCAAAAAACTAAGCTTGGTTGCTTTCTCATCCGCCCGTCGGCCGTGGGTTTCTTGTGAGCGGTGCCCTAGCTCCGACCCCGCCTCTCCGTCACGACGGCCCCGCCTGGACCTGCGGGCGGCGCTCCCACCTGCCCACCGCCCTCCCCACGCGCCGTCCCCGCGGTCTCCTTAGCGGAGGCAACAGGCTGCGCGCCAGGCGCCCCTCACACGGCAGGGCGGGGCGTGGGGGTGCGGCCCGAGCTCGGCCCCACATACCCCTGGTCTTCGACTCAGAGGAGCCACCTCACCCGGTGACCCTGCGGTGCCCCTCAGCCCCCCTCCGCCCAGGACCCCACACCCCACAGCGGAGCCTCCGCGCAGGCAGCTCACGTGCCCTTCTCCCGTGCCACCTCCGGAGTCCGGAGTCACCGACCCGCACAGAAGACCACGGGGCCTCACTGCGTCCACAAGGGAAGCTTCCGGGAGAAAAACACAAGGCTCTGCTTTCAGAGAGGCAGTGGGACACAGCATTTTGACCACGTATTTAAAAATAAGTGATAAAACACTTGTGATAAGTGATAAAACATCAAGTTCCCTCTTGACTCTTCAGCTGGGTGCTTTGCCAACAGCTGCCCTTTGGTATTCCTCCCACCTGGGCATCCTTTTTTTTTTTCTTTCTTAATTGGAGTATCCTTGATTTATAATGTCGGATTAGCTTCAGGTGTACTGCGAAGTGATTCAATTATACATATCTCTATTATTCTTTTTCAGATTTTCTCACATAGGTTATCACAGGATATTGAGTAGAGTTCCTTGTGCTATATGCTAAGTCCTTGGTTACCTATTTTACATAATAGTGTGTATATGTTACAAACTCCTGATTTATCCCTCCCCCCACGTTTCGCCTTTGGTAACCATAGGTTATTTTTGATATCTGTCTCTTTATTTTGTAAATAAATTCATTTGTATCTTTTAAAAAAATCAGATTCCACTCATAACTAATGATTATCTTTCTCTGACTTGCTTCACTTAATATGACAATCTCTAAGTTGCATCCGTGTTGCTGCAAATGGCATTATTTCATTGTTTATGGTGGACACAAATGACATTGTGTGTGTATACACACACCACATCCTCTTTATCCATTCATTCACTGATGGACATTTAGGTTGCTGCCGTGTCTTGGATATTGTAAACAATGCTGCTCTGAACACAGAGATGCATATATCTTTCTGAACTAGAGTTGTTATATTTTCTGGATTTATGCCCAGGAGTGGGATTGCTGGGTCATGCAGTAACTCTATGTTTAGTTTTTTAAGAAACCTCCATACTCTTCTCCATAGTGGCTGCACCAGTTTACATTCCTACCAACAGTGTAGGAGGATTCTGTTTTCTCCACACCCTCTCTAGCATTTATTTGTAGACTTTCTGATAATGGCCATTCTGACCTCTCTGAGGGGGTACCTCACTGTAGGTTTGATTTGCATTTCTCTATTAATTAGTGATGCTAAATATCCTTTCATGTGCCTTAGGAATCTTTTTAAAAATTCTTTTCCCCCGTTTTGGCCACACCTCACAGCATGTTGGATCTTAGTTCCCCAACTAGTGATTAAAGTCACACCTCCTGCATTGGAACTGGGGAGTCTAAATCACTGGACCACCAGCGAAGTTTCCAGATAATAACTTTCGAACCAGATTTCTCTGAAAGCAAATGTACCCTCTAACCAGGCCAGGAAAAAGTCTGAGTTGGAAGGTCAGAGTGAAGGTACAGCTGTTTTAAGTCATAAAGTAACACTATACACCAAACTGATGGATTATTCAGGGGCATTTAAATGTCCATCCTTTCTGCTAGCAATTAACATAAATTAAATGCTGATGGGAACTTACAGGTACCCCAACACTTCATTTTACTATATTTGTGTTTTAATATATTGGAAACAGTACCCACTTCATTATTTCCTGCACTGCAATTATCACTAATGGATTTTACCACAATGAGATCCCACCTGAATTCTGGATCATTTGTTTCTTTATATCACAACTGCAACAACAGCTCTTTTGTTTTTAAGTGACTTCCAGGAGATTTTCAGCTCTGCAGTCAGGCTGAGTCTCTGCACTCTCAATCACTATTTCCCTGGGATGGCTGGCTCCTCCTGACCACCACAACCATCTCACCTGTCTGTCAGGGGGCAGCAGCTGGCAGCAGATGTCGCTTCACATGCTCAGAGAACAGTTGGGCCTCTGCTGTCACTTGCACTAACCACTCTGCACTCGTTGCTCACAACCCTGGGCTGGAGCGGAGCAGCTCTTAACACAACAAAGCACATCACCCACAGGAGGGTCCCCGCACCCACAGGAGAGTTCCCGCATGGCCCAGAGGCTCCAGGAAGCCTGCAAGCAGAACCACTAGTCTCACAAACAGATCATCTGGGAAATGTAGGTTCTCTGGTAAGAAACTACAAGAGGGTTGATGGAGCTTTTAGAAGTAAAAGGGGGAGTTGTTTCTTTTCCCCCAGGTCCCAGGACTCCAGGCCAGGAGTGCATAATTAGGGTATTTCTAAGGAACTGAAGGTGCTCAAGCCCTCCTGAGATGCCCTGAGCACGAACCCTGCTCAGTCCCCAAGGAGCAGAAGTGCCCGGCTTGTGTCCTCGTTCACCCAGCTCTGACTTTCACACAACAGGTGCTGGTAAAGCGCTTGCCTCCAGAAACCGTTTCATGAGGCAAGGGCATTTTTACTGGTTACGTGTCACTGATACTGTTACTGGTTACTGTTACTGTACTGTGCCCATGCACAGCTCAGCATCACTAGGTGCACAGTTCCTGTGTGTGTTTACCTGTATTTGGTGCCTCCTCTCTGATAGCTCAGCTGGCAAAGAATCCGCCTGCAATGCAGGAGACCCCAGTTCAATTCCTGGGTCGGGAAGATCCCTTGGAGAAGGGATAGGCTACCCACTCCAGATTCTTGGGCTTCCCTGTGGCTCAGCTGGTAAAGAATCTGCCTGCAATGTGGGAGACCTGGGTTCAACTGCTGGGTTGGGAAGAGCCCCTGGAGAAGGGAAAGGCTACCCACAGTATTCTGGCCTAGAGAATTCCACGGGCTGTACAGTCCATGGGGTCACAAAGAGTCGGACACAACTGAGCAACTCTCACTTTCACACCACTAACTGGAGACGTCACGCTGTGTTGCACCATTCTGATGATTTCTGAAGCTTTTTATTCTAGTCTTTCTCCTTTCTTTAACATAGTTACATCTCTAACAGCGTATGTGCTATCTTTTAAAACAGAAGGAAAAAGAGTCAAAGAGCCAATTCATGCTAATCAACCTTCCCCGAGCTAAAAAATGCACAAAACAAAAACAAGTTAAAGGAAGCCTGTCTCTTTTCCGTGACAGCCCAGAATAAGCCAAATAAACCTTAAAAAGGGCTATGTGGGAAAGTCTGCCAGTCCTTCCAGGGGCACGCTTTGGGGAGAGCTCAGATTTCTGGATCATGCTGGAGAAGTAAAATGGCTCACAGGACGGTTTTGGGGAGAAGGGGACTTGTAGCCCAGACACCCCTCTCCAGGGACATCTGCAGGGCTCCTCTGCACCCCAAATGGGCTATCCCTTGGCTGGCCCGCAAGCAGCCTCTGGGCCTGTACCCACCTGGTCACAGCCTGCATCCACCAGCTCCTGCAGCATCTGTCGGTTCACTTCTGTGGCAGCTGAGGTGCCCGACTCGTTAGCAAAGGGGAGCAAGGAGTATCTGATCTCCCGCAGGGCTTTCTGATATGGCCCGAACTTCGGGGCACTCCTCATCTGCTGCTGCCGGGCAGTGTCCTTGCCCCCCAGGACCTTGCCCCCCAGGACCTTGGCGTCCAGGGTGGCGTCACTGCCCGGCCCCACAGGCGGCTGCTTCAGCCCCTCCCGGATCTCCTGCAGCCGCTGCCGGCTGTTCCCCGAGTACGTGGTGGCGGGGAAGGTCTTCGGCCGCATGGTCGGCGCAGGTTCCTCTGACCATAAATACAATCTTCTTAAAGTGTTTTATTGTTTAAGAGACAAGACCAACAGTATCAGTTAGCTGTAAACACGCTTTCACAACAGTTTCCTTTTGAAAGTGTCCTTTCCTTCCATTTTTGTAGTTCCTGCAGAGAACCAAACATTTTCCAGGGTCTTCATTTTGAAGATCATCTCCACCTGAAAAGGAAAATCAGAAGGTGTTCATCGGTGTTTCCCACATAACATTAGCAGTACTTTTTGGTGGTGGTTTAGTCGCTAAGTTGTGTCCAACTCTTGCGACCCCGTGGACTGTAGTCCGCTAGGCTCCTCTGTCAGTGGGATTCTCCAGGCAAGAATATTGGAGTGGATTGCCATTTCCTTCTCCAGGGGATCTTCCTGACCCAGGAATAGAACCCGGGTCTCCTGCATTGCAGGCAAATTCTTTACCAACTGAACTATGAGAAAAGCCCCTTAGCAGCACTGCTGGTGTTTCCCACATAATGTTAGCAGTACTTTTTAGGAATGGACAAACTCAACAACAACAAAAAAAACAAACAACCTAATCAAAAAATGGGCAGAAGACCTAAACAGACATTTCTCTAAAGAAGACATACAGATGGTCAACAGGCACATGTCAAGATGCTCAACATCATTAATTATTAGAGAAATGCAAATCAAAACTACAATGAGGTATCACCTCACACTGGTCAGAATGGCCAACATCAAAATGTCTACAAATAACAAAGGCTAGAGAGGGTGTGGAGAAAAGGGAATGCTCCTACTCTGTTGATGGAAGTGTAAATTGATACAGTCACTTTGCAGAATTGTATGGAGGTTCCCAGAAAAACTAAAAATAGAGTTAACACATGATCCGGCAATCCCACTCCTGGGCACATATCTGGAGAAAACTCTACTTCAAAACGATACATGCACCCCTATGTTCATAGCAGCACTACTTATTAATACAATAGACAGAATATGGCAGCAACCTAAATGTCCATCAACTGATGAGTGGATAAAGATGTGGTACATATACTCAATGAAATACTACTCAGCCATTAAAAAGAATGAAATGCCATTTGCAGCAACATGGATGGACTTTAAAAGATTACCGTACTAAGTGAAGTAAGTCAAACAGAGAAAGACTAATACCATATGACATCACTTATATGTGGAATCTAAAATATGACACAAAAGAGCCTATCTATGAAGCAGAAATAGACTCACAGGCATAGACAACAGACTTGTGGTTGCCACAGCGGAAAGGTGGGAGGGGGCCTGTTGGATTAGGAGTTTGAGGTTAGCAGATACAGACTATTATATACAGAATGGATAAAAAAGATCCTAATGTATAGCACAGGGAACTATATTCAATATCCTGCAATAAGCCACAATGGAAAACAATATGAAAAATAGTGTATATATGTGCATAATTGAGTCACTTTACTGAAGAGTCAAAATTAACACAACACTGTAAATCAGCTGTGCTTCAATGTCAAAAAATGAGTTTTTGATGACAACATTTAAAAAGTTAAAGTATCTTTTTTTTTAAAGAGAGAAAAGCTCAGACTCTGTGTGAACACAGCCTGAATCAGGCTGCACAGCTCTGAGGACCTGGTTCTTCTTCCAGCTGGAGCATGGCAAGCCTGTCCTGTGTCCAGGGACAACCCCCTCCCACCTGCTCACCACGTGAACCTCAGGGCTCCCAGCTGTAAACCCCTCCAGAGCAAAGGGCCTCTCGCCCACCCAGCCTCGGAGACCCTGCTGTTCACCCCCAGGCCCCAGCACCTGAACTGTGAGAACTGAGGGTGGGAGCCGCTGCCCACTGCCTGGGTCTGTGCCCTCTCCTGGGCTGGACCTGAAACCTGCCCCCCCGGGGGTCTCAGGAGAGCACTCAGCAGGGGCTGTGCCCCTTCTCCAAGGCTTCAGATGCAATATTTCTGATGTTTACACAAAACCACTGTAAGAAGCTGCACAACTGCGCTATACTACTCAGCCAGAAAAAGTAGTAAAGCTCTGACACAAGCTGGTGTTCAGTCACTAGGTTGTGCCGGAGTCTTTGCAACCCCATGGACTAAAACCCACCAGGCTTCTCTGTCCGTGAGATTTTTCAGGCAAGTATACTGGAGTGAGTCACCACTTCCTTCTCCACGGGATCTTCCTGACCCAGGGATAGAACCCACGTCTCCTGGATGGCAGGCAGGTTCTTTACTGCTGAGCCACCAGGGAAGCCAACAGGCTACAATGTGGATGAACCTTGAGGACATTACGCTGCGTGAAGCAAGCCAGACACAGAAGGAAAACACTACGTGACTCTGATGAGGCAAATCCAGAGACAAGGTGGACTACAGTTACCAGGGCTGGGCCGAGAAGGTTATTACTTAATGGGTACAGAGCTTCTGTTTGGGACACTGAAAAAGTCCGGACTGTGGCAGTGACTGCAGTGACAGTGTGCATGTATTTACTGCCACTGAACTGTACATTCAGGAATGTTTAAAATGATAAGCATTACGCCAACTCATCTAATGTTCATATCCAGAGGGCCAGGGTCTGACCATGCTCCCCCTCCAAACACAGCTGTGTTGGGAAAGGCCGGACCTCAGCACTGGTGCTGACACAAGTGCACCCCGCTCACAGACGGAGGTCTGAACAGCCTGGTACCCCCCACCCCACACGGAAGCACAATGGGGAGTGGCTTCCTAAGGCCACACACCCCCAGATACTTTTGAGTGCCTGTAGGTCCCACAAACATTCTGATTATGAAGCCGAGCAGTGCAGGAGAGACCGGACATGTGTGCATTTACACATGAGCTTAGAAACACCAGGGCGGGGGGGTGCTGAACGGAATCCAGGTCAGACATAGTGGTATCTGTCCTTTCTTTTCCTCCCCTTCAGCATTTCATTATGAAGATTTTCAAACATACAGAAAAGGTGACAGAGTTATTCAGTGACAGCCCCTCAACCTGTACCTAGGAAAGCTCCTTGTGCAGAGGCGGCGGGAGGATCCCCCCCCCCATCCTCTCATCCTCTTCCCACCGTGCTCCCCTAGGCACACCTGGCTTCCTCAGTGATGGTGCCAGACACCTAGGGAAGGATGAAACTTTCCTTCAGTCACGCAAAGAATCCAAGTATTTTCTCAGCTTGAGACCTTGTATTTTAGACTTTAGTTTGACGAGAGTTGATTTCATGGCAAAATTATGAACTTCTGAAAGCATTTTTCATGAGAATACTCATCAGTCAAATTATGATTGCAGCTGGAAATGAGGCCCTCTGACACACTACAGTATCATTTTAATAAGCTCTCTCATCCAGAATTTCAAAAGGCCCTAAGGGCCCTATGACCTAAGGTCTCAAGAGTCTTAAAAAAAATGAGGGTGGGCCTCCCTGGTGGCTCAGTGGTAAGAATCTGCCTGCCAATGCAGAAGACATGGGTTCGATCCCTGGTCCGGGAAGATCCCACATGCCATGGAGCAACTAAATTGGTGCGCCACAACTACGGAGTCTGTGCTCTAGAGCCCGGGAGCCGCAACTACTGAGTCCATGTGCTGTAACTACTGAGATCTTGTGCCTAGAGTCTGTGCTCCGTGACAAGAGAAGCCACCTGCACACCTCAACGACAGAGTAGCCCCCGCTCCCCACAACTAGAGAGAAAACCTGCACAGCGCCAAAGACCCATCACAGCCAAAAATAAATTAATAAAATTATACAGGCTTCCAGGGGGCATCAGTGGTAAAGAACTGGCCTGCCAATGCAGGAGACATAAGAGACACGGGTTCAATCCCTGGGTCAGGAAGATCCCCTGGAAGAGGGCATGGGAACCCACTCCAGTATTCCTGCCTGGAGAATCCCATGGACAGAGGAGCCTGGTGGGCACAGTCCATGGGGTCGCAAAGAGTTGCACACAGCTGAGGCGACTTAGCATACATGCACACACGGGAAATCCCGGGTGGTGCGCTGGTTACAATTCTGTGTTTTCACTACTGAGGCCAGAGAACTAAGATCCCACAAGCCACAGTGCACCAAAACAAAGGAGGGGTGGGTAGCAAACAAAGCAGTCTAATATTGGGAATTTCTTAGGTATCATCAACTGACTTAAATATACTTCAAAAGAAACTATAAGACACTGGAAATTTAAAATTGCAATACAACTCACAAAACAAAACTCATTTTCAAATCTGGGGCTGAGACAAAGGCTAAGGCCTATCCCGAGTACAAGCGGCTCCACTAAAAACAATATGAGAGCAGTATTCTAAGCAAACCTTCATGTGGCCCTATCAAATTCAATTCCAGTCTTTCAACCAATCCTGGAAAATGTTATCAGATGTTCAAGAATTTTTATTCTAATTCCTCCAAGTGCTTCACAACCTCACTGGCTGCCAAATACACATTCAGCACCGACCAGGGAACCAATGAAACCCATGTCCTGTGGGATCCACACTATTGACATACAGCATTTTTTTTAACAATATTTCTTGGGCCTAAAATTCCAGTTATTATTTAAATCGTATCTTTACTATAATTAACTAGCAAAGCTGAAACGAGATCAGGCAGCCAGGCCAGACCTCCAGCCAGGTGCTGAACACCAGAATCACAAACCACCACGCTGATGGCTGACTCCAGGGCTGCCCCGGCCAGGAGACCCCATGCCAGGGCCACCCCTCATGGGGAGGGTCCCTAAGAATATCCTTCCAGGGACTTCCCTAGTGGGCCAGTGGCTAAGACTCTGAGCTCCCAATGCAGGGGGCCTAGGTTCAACCCCTGGTCAGGGAACTAGATCTCATATGCCACAACTAAAGATCCCATGTGCGGCAACAAAGACTCAGCACAGGCAAATAAATAAATAAATATTTTTAAAAAAAGAATATCCTTCCAATCAAGGGTGCAATCACAAGGTTTCAGAGGGTACAAAGGTCTTCCACATGTGCCAAATGCTGTGCTGGATGGTACGTCAGGCTACCCAGGTAGGACAGAGCCTCACCTCAAGTAAGTTTCTGACC